GTGCGGGTGCCTGTAGTCGTGTGCTTTTATGAGTGATAAATAGGCCCAAGGAAGATGAACAGACAGGGAACTAAGATGACCATATACTCAGAAAACGCCTTTAATGCATAAGGCTTAAGAACAGATAAATGCATGCTAAGCTAGAGTCTCCAGTAAGCTTTTAGGAAGACTAGATTTAAGGAAGATTGTTTAGGCAAACAATATGAGATGATATTCAATTAAATGCTTAATTAGATAGTACCCATTATGAATACTGAAGGAGTTCTGAAAATAAAAATATTAACAAGGGGTAAATAGGAAAAGTAGGCCTTAAGCTGTTGCTTGAAAAACAGGTGAGGTTCAGTTAAGTGGAGGAGAGAGGAAAGGATTTCCACGTTCCCGTAAGTAAAGGCAAGGAGAGAGATAGGAATTTATGGTGCTCATATAGTGCTGCAGCACAGTCAGACTTAATGTTGAGCTGACAGTGCGGCCACTGAACACTCTGAAAAAACGCAGACCCATTGAGCGCGGGCCTGTGAACCACACAATTGTGGTTCGATTCCCAGTCAGGGCACATGTCTGGGTAGCAGGCCGGTTCCCTGCAGGCCAGTTCCCAGCAGAGGACACACCAAAGGCAACCATACATTGATGTTTCTCTCCCTCTCTCCTTCCCTTCCCCTCTAAAGGTAAATAAATAAAATCTTAAAACAAAAACAAAACATAGACCCAATGAATACTGCCAAATAAAAGCTTTAGAAGGATAGAGGCAAGAGAAGCAAGGGGAGCAAGACCGGGCCACATCAGAATGAGATTAGAGTCCCCAAGCACAGCCAAAGTCGTCTTTCAGGCTCGCAGAACCTTGAGCCCCACGTAGAACCCCAGTGGGCTGCTCGCCCCCACCAGCTTCTGTAGGTCGCACTTCTCCGGGCTCCCACTTAGTTGACTTACCAGCCTCACACCAGACAGGCCTTTGCTCTCCCTCTTCATTTCATCCACACAGACAAGCCTTTACAGGTACCCCCCCCCTGCAGCTTTAATCCTGCAACCAGTGGTCCTCTCGGGAGGGCATGTGCTGTAATCACCTGGGGGGCGTGCCTCGGTCCCACCCACAGAGGGTCCAGTTGAATCAGTCAGGGCTGTAGCCTGGGCCTCAGGTGTTTACAGGCTCCTCGGGAGACACTGGTGAGCAGCTGAGGTGGAGCCCTGTTGGCCGCCTGTCTGCCAGGGAGAACTCACACCAGTCCCACCCTGCAGCTCCACTCGGATGGAACAGTTTGCCATGAAATACAGCAACGAATTTTAATTAGCTCGATAATAGCAGAACTGAAATTAGATTCCAGGTTTTCTTCACTCCCATATGCAGCATTTTGCCTCATGGCCACAATACTTAAAGCTTTCGTATCAACTTGATCCCAGTGTGTGACCAGGAAAACAGGGAAGCCTCCAAAGATACCTGTGAAGGTTCCTTTATAATAGTCCTCAGCAGTCAAGGGCTTCCATTCACTGTGATTTTTCAAGACACTTGCACTCACTCTCAATGGCAAGCTATGAATGACAAGCTGTGAATGACAAGCTGTGAATGACAAGCTGTGAGGAGCAAAAGCATAGGTTCCTCTTCTCTGATATCTGGTTATCAATTTCCAATTATTGGGGAAGAGGCTTAAATTTGAGCCAGAAGTAAGCTAATGGGATTGGAAGGCGTTCACTTTTTGCACCATTTTTAAACATAAATCCAGAAGAAGAAACGAATATGTGAGAGGTGTTGAGGGGGGGTAAGTAGGGGAGATGGCATTCTTTTGGTATCATGTTGCACATGTCATCTGTGCGACTCGATAACGCAGAAAGAAAAAGGATCCTTTTAAGTAGGACTCAGATCCCCATTGCTTTCCGTCCACACTCCGATATGTGATTTAGATCTACTTAAAGCTTAAAAACGACTCCCTGGGCAGAGGTGCCCTCCCACTTGGCTATACTGTTCTGAAAGTAACCAGATACATATTACATTGAAAAGCATTAGTTTCACCAAAGCATTAAAGAGATGTTATGTTTTTGCTAGAATAATAACATTAATAGTCTCATTTTTTAAATAATTTAATGTGCCCACATGCTTGCTTCCATGATCAAACGCTCTTCTGTTTGAAAATTGGAAGCAACAGGAAAGATTGAAGCATCGGGGAGAACCGGGCGGGCATGAAAGTAGTTCATGAGGTTGAACGGCAGCTACAGGAGCCCCGCCCTCTCCCCCAGGAGAAGCAGTCTGATGGTGGTGGTGGTACCAAACCCTTACGTAACTCTTTACAGCTTTAAATGTATTTTCAAACATATTATTTTATCTGCACAGCTAACTAGCTGTGACTTTCCAGATAAGGACACTGAGGCCTAGAGAGAATTTAAGTGGCTCACTTGAAATCACACAGCTAGCGGGAAGGGGCCTCCACGACCCAAATGAACATATTGTCTTCCTGTTCTTTGGCTTTTCATCACTTCCTTTACCTTGTAATGTATCGCTACGACCTAGATGATGTAAAGGTAATGGAGCTAGGGTTGGTTTCTCTTAATCCTCACCAGTGTTGTCACTTTCCCATTATTTTTTAGTTACCAGATTTTATTTTTGATGAGGGAACATCTAAGAAGGCAAAAACAAAGTATTTCATCTCACATCTCACTTAGAGTTTAGAAGGCCAGCCAACAGACTTGCCAGGAAATCACTGTTACAATAAACCTGGAACCCTAACCATCGCCAGGGGTTATAGCCAATCAGGTGATGCCCTGATCAGGAAAAGGACAGGCAGCTACTGCAGCCTCTGAAATACAACTGTAGGAGCCTGCAAAATGCAGTTGCCCTGAGCATGAAATCCCTTCCCAGTTCTGCCTCAGATGCTCATGCTAGTCCACCTCCTATGTCTTACTCCCCTCCAGTGTTACCAGTTTCTTGAAGTTAAAGCTTCATGTTGTTAGGTTTCCTCCTTCCCTCCAACAGTTCTTCCTAATCCCTGCACAACTTAATGTTCATTACCACTGTTTATCACCTGCCCTTGATATTCACCAAAACAGATTTCACCTTTATAAAACCAATAGGAAAGGGAAGAGAAGTTCCTTTGCTCGAATTTGTATCACACCCCACGTGCCTGGGGATGGCCTTTTCTTAATCCCCAGACATTCTTATAATGATACTTTTCCTAACTGTGTTAACACCATGATTGTCCATGGGAGAAAGTTAAATAATGGACAAAAAAAAAAAAAAGAACAAACAAGTTGCTTCTCCTGTGAATCTTTAACCTAAGAAAAAGGAAGCTTTGGCTCTTACCTGCTAGATAAATGAATGGCCAGCCTTCCATGAATGAAATCTTTGGTAGAAGACCTCCTGCCACTGGGGAACTCTCCTTGCAGGCACACTTTGTAGTGGACACACTTCATTATAAAGACAGAGGTTTTGCTAAGAAGAAGTTATTATATATTGTTTGAGATTATTGCCTTCTCATCATTTGAGCCAGAAAAGGAGAATAGGCAAAAGTGTTCTTCGAGGAAGAAGGTATCAGAAGTGGCATTTAAATCGGGTCAGCAAATTTGGCTGTGGAGCAAATCTTGCCCACTGAATATTTTTGTAAATAAAGTTTTATTGGAACACAGCCACATCCATTTGTTGACATATTTTCTTTGGCTGCTTTCACACTACAATGATGCACATGAATTGTTGCAAAAGAGACAATATGGCCCATAAAGTCTAAAATATTACCTATTTGGTCCTTTACAAAAAAAAAAAAACAAAAAAACCTGACCCCTGATCTAGAGAGTCTAAAAACTCACTGGCACATTTTATGGTCACTCATTGAGGATTTCAACCTGAGTAAAGGTCTAGGTTTCTTTCTGTTGCTATGTCCAGAAAGGAAGTCTTCCGTGGAAGAGCAGAACACACCAGCAGCAGCCAAGAGCTGGATGGAGACACAGACCATTGACAGAGCGCTCAGTGCAGGACAGAAAAGTAGGAACAGGAATGATTCCAGCAGAGTGACATTCTGGCAAAGACAAAACAAAAGAGACAGTGAAAAGATCAGTAGCTGCCAGGGGCTAGACAGCAGACAGTGATGAACAGGCAAAGCACAGAGGACTTTTAGGGCAGCAAAACGATATTGTATGATAATATAACCACAGATACATATCTGTACATTTGTCAAAACCCATAGAGTGTACACCACCCAAGTGAACCCTAATGTAAACTATGGAGTTTGGGGAGTGTGTTTGATGTGTCAGCTTAGGTTCATTGATTCTAACAACTCCACCACCCTAATCATGTTGCCTATGAATGAAGAGGAATGCACGTTTAAAGGGAAAACTGAAGTATCATTACCAGAATGCATTCAAGGATGCAAAAACCACAGAATGCCACTATACGAGGTCAACTAGGGCTTTTTAAAATTGATTTGAAAGACAGAGAGAAGAAAAATATCAATTTCTTGTTCCACTTATACACTCATTGGTTGATTCTTGTATGTGCCCTGACCGGATACCAAACCTGCAACCTTGGTGCATCGGGAGGAGGCTCTAACCAACTGAGCCCTCATCCAGGGCTAGCAAGGGCTTTATATTCCCTCCTCTTTGTGCTGCTCCATGTCAGAGTCGGGGGGGAGATAAGATTCTGAAACATCAGGCAAGGCATTACAAAGATGCCGTCATTTATAGTAAAGTACGAACAACTGAGGTTCTGCGTAGGTTTGAGGACTAGATGGTGGACAGCTCTGTCTCACAGAAATTTTCACATGAACAGATCGAAATGAGAGTGAACCTGTAGAACTGGTGCGAATCATTAAATGCTTCACATTTAGGCAGGATATAAGTAGAACATTAGTATGTAACAAGTCTTGGGCTGAAATCAAGTCTTTCAACTTGCATTAAGAAGATTAATTAGTGTTTATAAAGTACTGTGCAGATATGCCCTTTCCAAATGCTAAGTATTCTAAAAACTACATTGTAGCATTTTCCTAAATGTAAAAGATCTAACGTTCATCATTTCTTTGGTACAGGTTGGCAAAGATTCTTTTGGCAACAATTATATAGAAAACTTAAAACAGAATGATATTTCTACAGGTAAAACTTTCTTTTAAAGTTGGTTTTTATAACTTTCTTCTGTGATCTGATTACAAGAAAAGTTGAATATAAAATAGAATTATTAGAGCTTCTCTTGCTGACCGGGGAATTTTTATGAGCAGCTTTACGTAGCCGTGCTTAAGTAGCCATGGCTAATTCCCTCGTGTACACTCCGTCGGGTGGGAATAAAGCAACAGGAGGTTACAAACCTCCATCTCACGGAAATGTTTCAGACGCAAGTAACAGGAGAAAATAGGTGCTCCATTCGCAAAAGATATCTTAAGAAAAGCCACTGAGTGGCATGGCTGGAAATTATTTTAGGAACCATTGAGGCTGATACTATTTCCCAAAAAAAGAAAACCGAAGGCCAGAGAGGTTCTGCGATTGTCCAGGAGCACGTGGCTAGTTGGAGCCCCAGCTGAGACTAGAAGGCAGCTGTTGGCTCCAGCTCAAGGCTCTCGCTGCTGCCAAAGGCTGCCTGATCAGCATTACCGTGTACATGCCGGGCTCTGATTCTCGATGAGATACAAAGCTTATGAGAGGGAAGAAAAACAAACACGTTGATTTTATAGGTTTGACCTTTCGTCTTTAATCTCAGTCAGTCATTTCTTTCCCTGGAGAAATATGGTAGTGTAGAAAATGCGTATGTGTACAACTATGAATAAGAGGCAGGGATTGGTAGTGGGGGTGGTTTGCTGGGTTGTTACTCATGCAGAGAAAAGGTGCAACTAAGTGTAAAGACTTTTATTTTCCTCATTGTATAGGGGATGAGTATAAATTAGCACTAATTACTTATTTCTTTTTTTACCATTCCAGATGGTTAAAGGTTAAAAAAGTTTTCTAAGGATTAGTGATGCATTGAAATTGTTAAAATAAATTATCCATGCCAGGCTGTGTATATGTGATTTTAATTTTTTCTTTTAGAATTTACGTATCAGACTGAAGATGCTGCTACAGGAACTGCTTCAATAATTGTCAATAAAGAAGGTGTGTGTTTTGCCTTTGGAATTATCATTTGATAAAACAGTTCATTTCCAGAACCAGAGCTGAAGCATCAGTTTTTATCCTGATCTTACAGATCTCTTACAACACCCACGAGGCCTACGGCATGGCTTCCCAACCTAAATATAAATGTTCCCCTTCGTTTACACATCCCAGGTTGACCAGATATAAAAGTGTCCGTCCAAAACATATGAAGCCTTATAGTTGCCTCAGAATAACTTTTATATCCTATAAAGTACATTACCCTTCATGTGAACTCAGAACTGATATTTATCTCTAGAAGCAGCTTACATCTGTCATTTCAGTTACACGAGGGAAATAAATGTAAATAGATAGGTGCAAAAGAAGGTTGATGGATTGTATTTATAGAATATTTACTGAGCAAATGGCAGCAACTAATTACTTCTGACTTATCGTTAGTGTTCAATTTTGTCTGCTCTTTAACCAGCAATCAAATCTCAGAGGTCTGTGTATACAGCTATGTCTGTCACTAGGCCTTGCAGTAGCCAAACATTTGTCTTTGAAAAAGTAACTTCCCTTTACCCTCACATCAAGTTTTCATCATTTCTACCAACTATTTTAAGTAGAAAACACCTCTGTCAGATTTTCCAGATCAGAATTTGAAGGCCTAATATTCAGAAGGGCCAAGCCCCTGTGGGGGCACTTGGAACACAGAACCTAGTACGTGACAGGTAGTCGGCGTGCACTGTGTTACATTAGGGTTTGTCACAACATGTCTTCAATTTATAATGCAGCTTCACAAGGTCTTTTCTCACAGGAGACATGACCCTTTTACCATCAGTGATCCCCAACTTGCAATAACAAAAAGAAAAAAATCATGTTCCACATAACAACAGATTAATGTTCTTATTCTAACAATAGTCTGTATTCACTACTTTAAGCTACCTCACAGCTCATTCCCTGCCTTAAACCTCTTTTTTGTGTTCTAGTGATATCTTCATGTTCTGTTTCTTCCTTATCTGTGAACAAAATACTGCATTTTCATGCAAAGATATAATTTAATACTGCATATGGAGTGCCTGGTGTGGTAGATATGTCTGGTGTAGAGTGTATGGTAATGCCCTCGAGAGTACAGATTGTAGTAGAAGAGCTAATCCAAATGCCCAGAGGTGACAGTCAGCTCCTTTAAATGAGTAGCACAGTAAAGTAAGGAGGTCAGTTCTGACAAGTTTAGTTGAGGCATGAGTGAGCTAGCCACATGGCAGTGTCCACCGTACGGCTGTGTCTTCAGTTTGTTTCTCATCGGCCAAGGCCAGGCCAGAAATGTAGACTCAGAGGTCAGCGACGCAGAAGCAGCAGCTGACTCTAGCAGAGGGAGTGAGGTCACTAGGGAGAAAAGGAAGTAGGTATGCTGTCTTTCAGCGTGTGAGTACTTGGAATTTTTCCAGGACCAAGATTGGGTTTGTGCTGAACCATCCCTGCTTTGTTAAGTCCTCCTTGTGGCCAACAAACACATCTGTGGTAAGATGAGAGGCTCGCATGTGTTCTGCGTTCAGAGGTGACTTTAGGTCATGTGTATACAAGAGCAGCACGAGCAGCCTGTGGCACCAAAATGCTGCTGCAATTTGTCCCCTTAGGTCAGTGCTGTCCACTAGAAACATAATGCAAGCCGTGTACACAGTTTTAAATTTCCCATTAGCCACATTCAGAAAAAGTAAACAGAAACAGGTAAAATTCATCTTGTATATTCCCTTAACCCGGTAAATCCAAAATATCATCCTTTCCACATGCAATCAAAAAAGTCCTTAAAAATTAATGAGGTGGTTTACCTTTTCTTTGTACTCAGCCCTTGAATCTGCTGCGTAGTGTACAATGAGAGCCACCCCACTTTGGACCGACATGTTCCAGGTGCGCCATAGGCGTGTGTGGCTCGTGCTCATGACTATCATGTTGGACAGCACAGCTCTGGAGAGTTCACCTGGCAGGTCAAATGTACCACCACCCCTCCCGCATTTCAATGAGGTTATAGAGAATGAGTCCAGGTGATGGGTATACAGGGCAGGGCAAAAGGAGTTTTATAGTTGTTTGTATGGAAAGTACAGTAACTTGTAAATAACAGTACAAGTGGATGGCCTCAACTGTAGACCTACTTTTGCCCCACACTGTACAAGATTCCGTAGTCCTGCCTCTGTTCAGTCTGGTGCCGTCTAGGCCACATGTCCTCTCTACCTTCAGTTATTTAGTACAAGTTTTCATCTGCTAGATGTTATAAAATGTGTTTGGATTTATGAAATCACTCTACAGCATACGCTAGGGTACACCTTGAACTGACTGCATGCTAGAGAGGATTAGTTTTAATGTTAGGCAACTTTAGCCCTGTTTATACTCATCGTTATGACATCTGTCATTTAGGATTAAGAACCTTTACCACATACGTTGTACCAGCCATTTCCCATAAAAGAAAATTCAAAAATATGTTATATATCCTTTCTCAGCTGACACCCTTTATATATAAGAATATTGGGGAAATCATTTTTAGATTTTGTCCAAAATAATTAGAATAATATGAATCTTACAGAGATACTGTAAAAGAAGCTACCTTAGGAATATGAATTTTAACCCAAATGGCCTGGAAATGTTAAAATTAATACAACACATGTCATGACTTTGTAAGAGTGGCTGTAACATTGCAGAATATCACTGTTTGGCTTTGCTTGGTTTCAATATAATACATAGAAATCCTTTATAGGCCAGAATATCATCGTGATTGTGGCTGGAGCAAATCTACTTCTGAATTCTGAAGACCTGCGGGAAGCAGCCGGCACCATCAGCAGAGCCAGGGTGGTGATCTGCCAGCTGGAAGTAACCCCGGCAACGTCTCTGGAAGCCCTGACGATGGCCCGCAGCAGCGGAGGTAGTGATCTTACACACTCGTCATTCTTTCTATCAGAGCTTTTATCTCTGTCTTAGAGTTAACCTTTAGCAATACTTTTCTGTAGGAAAATATTCTTCTTCCATCCGTCTTCCAGTTCTTATAATGTTAGAAAACCTAATGAATAGGGTAAAAATAACATGAGCAGCAGTTCCGACATCCCACAATATAAATCTTCAGTCTAGTTTGCAGAAACAATACCGTAGTAACTAGAACCTCCGAAGCAGCCCTTGTCCAAGCTGCACCCCAGGTGGTGCAAGAATTTCTGTTCCGAGAAGCAGAGTTAAGCCGTATGTCAGGTATAATCCCTGTCCAGGTACATCCTGATAAACAGCTCTACAAATGAAAGATTAGTTCTTCCTTCTTTTATAAAACTTTACCTTATTTTCTATAAACAACAAAAGATTATTTGTATGTAGTATTTTCTGTGTAGTCAAGATCCTTTAAGCAGCTCTTTTGTGTTGTTTGGCTTTTGATTTTGGAAATTTTTTAACATGCAAAAGCAGGCAGAATTGCAAACTGAAACCCATCACCAGCTCCAGCATTATCAACCCTTGGCTAATCTTGCTTCATCTGTTGTCCCACCGGACCCCTCTCTCACCCCCAGCAAATGACAGACTTTGAAAATTCCACATAGTTTCTTTCTGTCGCTTTTTCCTTATGGACCAGTGGAGAGAGCCTCTTGTGAATTAGAAGCCCATTTCTGATCCTTGTTAGCTTTGTGGCCTTTGCAGAACTACCTGACTTTTCTGTCTTCTGTATATGCATCTGTTAAATGCATATACTCCCCTACAGAATTGTTCTAAGAATGGAATAAAATGAAATATGATGCCAAGCTAATGTAGTAAGTTTCAGTAAATTCCAATTTTCTTCTCTCTTTAAATTAAAATTTGGATAATATCCTGATCAGCACCATCTGGCCAAAAAAAATAAAAATAAAAACTAGCCACTCTAAGACAATGGCTTCTTCTTGTAATAGTTCTATGATTTATATTAAGAAGAACTTATAGAGAAAACTACATTGCTTTTTCTGATAAAACTTTCTCATCGAGATACAATAAAAAAAGAACTGTGTGTGTGTGTGTTCATATAAGTGATTTCTCCCAAAGTGTGTAGTGTCCTACATATCAATAAATTGAAAATAAGTTACTGATATGATTTTCTGGAGACTTTTTAAATGTATGTCCTGATTTAACAAATTTTCCTTGTGGCAAAACAAGAGGCCGTGACAAATTCTCACTGACATTTAATGTGTTTCTAATGGACTCGAAGCTGTCAGAAAGGATTCTAACCTAAACCCATTTGGTTACATTGTCTCCAAGCGTCACAGACAGAGGCTGGTGCTCAGTAAGCGCGCACTCTCTGCGCCACACTCATCTCTCTTGGCTGATGTGCGCGCACGTGCCGCTTCATCAGGCTCCTGTCGTTCCTGGTTAAGATCAGAGCATACTCTCACGTAACTTCTCTTTTTTTCCTGCTACCCCTCCTTCTCAGAGATCACTGCTTCCTCTGTCCTAGTCTAGTTTCCTGTTTCCTACCCAGCTTGTGGAGGAGAGAAAGGTACAGCAACCACGGCTGAGGAGCCAAACTTCCACAGGTGAGGCTAGAGTTACCCAGACGGGCAGGCAGCCTGACCTGGGTGGGGCTCAGAAGTGCTTTCTCCATCACCTGCTAGGCAGTTGCTCCAGTTGAGAGGCTAGAGGACCAGGGGCCCCAGATGGGGGTTTAGGTGATGGTGGGCCAAACACCGCTTAGCCTCCTTCACATTTCTATGAAGAGCTGGCGTGCCTAAGTATTAATTCTGCAGTATCTTACACAATCATACTGGAAGTGGCAATACCTTGCATTTGTATGTACGTTACAGTTTATAAACACTTTCATGTATATTTGATCCCTCAGAAAAACAGTATGGCAAAGATATGACAGGTGTTACGGTCACACCTGAGTTCTCCAATGACTCCCATCTTAAACAACTTGGTTCTCAGCCAGGTTGTTCACAGAAAAAAGTCTCAGTTGTTGAACAAAACTTCAGTTCTCTACCCAACAACCTTTTCATGTCGATACCTATATTTCTAATGGGAAGAAATGGTTCAGTTTTAGAACAAGTCACTTCTCAACCATCTTCTGGAACAAATGAAGTTTGAGAACCGAGGAACCCCTATATTTCCCCAGACTGCAGACTGAGACTCGGAGAGGTTCAGTAATTGGCTCAACCGAGGTGATACTTTTAGTCAGTGTGGAAACCAGGACTTCAGGCTCCAAGCCCCACGCTCTGTGTCCTAGACCACACTTTAAATTAAGAAACTTTAAAATCCCTGTGATTTCTAGTAACTGAGCCTTTATGAAGACTCTCTCTCGAAAAGTAAAATCCGTGAACTCTAACATTGTCTAATGTGTGGCCTAAGCTTTGAGTGTCTTGCCGCTCAAGACACAGAGATGGGACCCCAGAGCGTTTTCAGCTATACGTCCCCCAACTATCACTGTTATATACACACACACAAGCGCACACACAAACACACATATGCACATGCCCCTCTGTCCAGAACTCAGCTGGTCCCTGTTGGGTAGTGAACAGCCAAGCGCAGCTGAAATTCTATACCAAGAGCGGGGCTTGTGTGTATGAATGTAGTGCATCTCCATTCTTACATGCGACCATACAATGGAAGGAGCCCCGGTTTGGGAGTCAGGAAGCTTGGCTTTGGATTGAGAATCAATCAGTTAGCAAATGGGGACATGAGGCAAGTCGGTCAGTTCTGTGTTCTGGGAAATGAGAATTGGACTCAGAGCTCTCACCATTGTTTACTGTGACGTTGTATGAATGGAATGATCACAGGGCATAGCAGACAAAGCGTAAAGATCTGTTGTGAGCACTGAACATCCCTCCCATTGCCCCACAAGTCTGCATATATGCTAATCACATTACTCCGTTACAAGAAAGATGGTGAAACCATCATCCTCACCACTGTCTGTGGGTTTCTTGCCACAGCTCGCCTATCTGCACTGCTTAACTAAGAATGGAATTTGAATTAAACACACTGTATAACTAGCTCACATATCAGTCATTAAAATACACAGGAACGTCCATCTTTGTATATATTGTCTTGGGATTCTCTTACCAAGTCTTTACCAAAACAAAAGCAGTAATTTTAAGGAGACAGCACCGCACCATCAAAAAGGAATTGTCAGTCCTCCAGAGTCCCCGTCCTCTCCAGGTCGTGGTGCTGCAAGGCAGAGCTGGTGCTGCAGCTGCTCGTGATGAAATTATGTGTGTTGGTTCTGGTCTTTATATCCATTTCAAAGCAAATGAAACATTACAGGAACAATTATAAATCATTGAGATTTGTAGAATTGCCAAGATTAAATTCTAGGTAGGACATGGAGTATCTTTTAATGCCACTTCAGGCCTTTTCCATTTGCCGAACAGAACTTCTTGGCTGGCTACCTGGACTTTCACAATAACACTGTCTAGCACGTAACCCAAACTTTGAGTGTTTTTTTTCTGTTAAAGTCACAGAGAAGAACCCATAGAGTAGGAGGCGACCAAACCAACCTTGAGCGTACTCCAGCCTCTCCATAGTTGCTCTGCTTAGGGTGATTTCTTCCCCATTTCTCTGAGCTAGTTCTGGGGGCTTTCTTAACTGTGCAGCTGCTGCCTTCCAAGATAACATTCAGAGCTTCTGCCTCGTGTTGCTGACTTTGCACCTACACAACTGCCCCCCAGGCCTCACTAGTGCTTCACCGACGTTACTGTGCCAGCCATTGACATGCTGTTGGGACAACCAGGATTTTGGTCCATCTTGCATTGTAATGAGCAATAATTACTGTTGGGTGCTGTCAGTCACCTCTACAGCCCCAAGGTGCTCCATCATACATCCTGTACTCTCTCTTCTGCATGGTTCCAGGATAGCATCCTTTTTTCCATGTTGTCTATTAAAACTTTGTATTCGTCTTTGATTGTCTGCATTTACTACTACTTCTTCATGTTTTTTCATCATGGTGAAGTATATATTCTTACTTATGGTAGCATGAGCCAAAGAGAGACCTTTCTTTAAGGCATTTTCACTTTTTCCCTAAATTTAGTTACCAGTCAGACCCTAAGCACATATGGACAGTTACTATCGGTAAGAATGCTTTCCCCCAGGTAAAATACAAGCAAGTAAGATTGGATTGATTTTTATATAATACTTATGGCCAAATTAAATTGCAGAATTCCTAACTCCAGCAATTATTGCTTAAAGCCAACATAATTGTTTTTTTTTAAGAGTTTATTTATTTTTATAGAGAGGGGAAGGGAAGGAAGAGAGGGAGAGAACCATCCGTGTGTGGTTGCCTCTCACATGCCCCCTGCTGGGGACCTGGCCCGCAACCCATGCATGTGCCCTGAATGGGAATTGAACCATGACTCTTTGGTTCTCAGGCCAGCACTCAATCCACTGAGCCACACCAGCCAGGGCTGTCTTTTTTTTTAGTTTGTTTTTATTATGGAAAAATAAGTATATATAGATGTATAGAGAATAGTACAGTAAATCCGTATCTACTGTCATTTAGCTTCAACAGTTATCAACATATGACTTATCTTGCTTCATCTATATCCTCACTCTCCACCCCTCACTGCAACTTTGGACTATTTTGAAGCAAAACAGACATCGTATTATTTCATTCACAGTGTACTTATTTTTTATGTAAATATGTTTTGAGAATGATGTCTTTGCATGGTGTACAGCAAGTAATCTGGCCAGATTTTTTTCCCATTAGCCTTTTGTAATTAATCACAAGTTTAATTACTAGTTTAATGAGTAACCTCTCAAGACTTGTTTCTCTTCTATATAAGTGTATGAATATCAATACAAATATATCGGGTTGGCCAAAAAGTCTGTATGTTTTTTTCTGTAAAATAAAAGACGCACTTTTCATTTTCACCAATAGCTTTATTGATTTGGATATTTTGAGTATGTCAGCTATCTCCTGCGTTCTCAATTAATGTCTTGATTTGCTCACTGTCAACATCAACTGGTCTACCAACTGTCCAGCAAGAAATCTCTAGCACAAAACTTCACAAACCACTTTGGACACGTTTGATCGGTCACAGCACCTTCTCTGTACACTCCACAAATCTTTTTTTGAGTTTCAGTTGCGTTTTTCCCTTTTTTGAAATAATACAGCATAACATGCTGGGAAAATGTTGTGTATTTTCTTCCATCTTCAATATTTTTATTTTAATTGTTGTTCAAGTACAGTTTTCTGTCTTTTACTCCCATCCCAGCCCACCTCCCCCCAGTGCTCCCCACCTCCCTCCCATTTCCACCCCCCTTAGATTTTGTCCATGTGTCCTTTATACTAGTTCCTGTAAACCCTTTCCCTTTTCCCCTGAAATTCCCTCCCCTCTCCCCTCTGATCACTGTCAGCCTGTTCTCTATTTCAGTGTATTTGGTTATATTTTGCTTGCTTGTTTGTTTTGTTGTTTAGGTTCCTGTTAAAGGTGAGATCATATGGTATCTGTCTTTTACCGCCTGGCTTATTTCACTCAGCATAATGCTTTCCAGTTCCATCCATGCTGTTGCAAAGGGTAGGAGCTCCTTTCTTTCTGCTGCATAGAATTCCATTGTGTAAATGTACCATAGGTTTTGGATCCATTCATTTACTGATGGGCATCTAGGTTGCTTCCAGCACTTGGCTTTTGTAAATTGTGCTGCTATGAACATTGGGGTGCATAGGTTCTTTTGGATTGGTGTTTCAGGGTTCTTAGGATATAATCCTAGCAGTGGTCAAAAGGCAGATCCATTTTTAGTTTTCTTAGAAAATTCCGTACTGTTTTCTGTAGTGGTTGTACCAGTCTGCAATCCCACCGACAGTGAACTAGGGTCCCCTTTTCTCCCTACTTGTTGTTTGTTGCTTTGTTTATGATGGCCAGTGTAAAGTGGTATCTCATTGTGGTTTTTCACAGACATAGAACAAACACTTCAAAAATATATATGAAACCATAAATAACCCCAAATAGCAGCTGCAATTTTGAGAAAGAAGAACAAAGTAGGAGGAATCACAATACCTGATACCAAACTGCATTGCAAGGCCACTGTAATCAAAACAGCCTGGTTCTGGCATAAAAACAGCCACATAGACCAATGGAACAGAACAGAGAGCCCAGAAATAAACCCAAGTCTCTATAATCAACTAATATTCAACAAAGGGGGGGCAGCAACATAAAACGGAGTATAAATAGCCCCTTCAACAAATTGTGTTGGGAAAACTGGACAGCTATGTGCAAAAAAATGAAACTCAAGCATCAACTTATACCATACACCAAAATAAATTCAAGATGGATAAAAGACTTAAATATAAGTTGTGACAGCATTGAAGTCCTAGAGGAGAACATTGGTCAGATATTTCATGAAGCAGCATTTTTACTGATATGTCCCCTAGAGCAAGGGACATAAAGGAAAGAAAAACAAATGGGACCTCACCAAAATAAAAAGCTTCTGCACGGCTAAAGAAAACAGTATTGAAATAAAAAGAACCAACTGTATGGGAAAACATATTTGCCAATGATACTTCAGACAAGGGTTTAATCTCCAAAATATATAAAGAACTTATATGACTCCACTCTAAGAAGACAAGCAAACCAATTAAAAAGTGGGCAAAGGACTTGAACAGACACTTCTCCATGGAGAACCTACAGAGGATCCAGAGACACATGAAAAGATGCTCAACATCACTAGCTATCAGGGAGATGCAAATTAAATCCATCTTCAATATTAACATGACTACACAAAAATTCCCCAGTTCTTATCATTTTTTAATGCATGCCGATATGACAGGTGTCACAGTACAATCTAACAAAATTGTTTTGAATGAAGTTAAAGACTACTAAGCACTTGTAGATCCATCGTACAAAAAAAGTTTTTGGCCAACCCAATAGTTAAGTTTTATTTGTTTTGTTTTAAAAAGGGAGGGTATCATACTCTACAGATTTTATTACAAAACTGCCTTCTTCATGTATAAGTAAACTATAGAAATCCTTCTGTGACAAATCAGAGATCTGCTTCATTCATTGTCATAGCAGCAGAGTGTTCCATTGGGTGTGTCATAATTTCTTTAACCAATCCTCTCTGCTTGATGCATGGGTTTCCTTTTGTTTTCATTTTTGTTACAAAAGAGCTGAATGAACATCACTGTACCACATCTTTGGATGCCTGCGTATTTCTGTAGGTTGCCAGATCAGGGATCTTTTGAGACAGAATGGAACTTCATAAGAATGACCCTGTCCTGTTGTTCCATACCGGTAGCTTGCTGTAACCTGTGCCCAAATGCTGCTCAGTGCAAATTTGAGAGTCATGTAGGTGAACACTGGTGTCTCAATTTAATGCTTAAGGAAAATAGAAGGCGAAAGTTTTGTTCTGAAAACCTAAAAAGTAAATGGGTGTGTTAGAGTGCTGGACATCTCTAAGAACTTGCAGAAAGCAGGAAAGCCCATGAGAGAGATTGTTGCTAGGCTACAAACACCAACAGATGGCAGGAGAGATGGGTGGACAGGTGGGGGTGTCCAGCTCTGTGTAAAGGACAATATAACAGTAATAATTCCATATATTTGTACAACACTTTACAGTGTACATGGGACTTGTACATCCATTTCTAATTTAAGCTACACAATAACCCCATGCAAAAATAGGAGCAGCCAAAAATAGACCATAGAACTTCCACTGGTGGACATTCTGGACTCTAAAATAGTGGAAATGTGGGAATAGAAATATCCGGTAAACCACTGGACAAGATCCAGTGACTGAACCAAAATGTAAAGATCAAAGGTACAGAAGCAGAATTTGCGGGCAGTTTCCTTTAGCCACGTACTGTAAGCATCTCCCCAAGAACGTGGAATGGATCGGTGCCAGGGGAGCTATGGAAGAACCGCTTGGAGAACTTGTCAATGTTCATATCCCCCAACCTTACCCCAAGAGATGCTAATTCGGTGGGTTTGAGGTGGAGCCCGAAGTCATGCATTTTATTAAGCTCTCCTAGTGAAGCTGATGTGCAGCCAAGTTTGGGAACCACTGTTCTGGAAGAGTCTCTGAGGATTTTACTCTATGGATCTGGTAAATTGGGGTTACTAAACCCATATATCTGTGGACCTGGTAGAGGAAGAGAATACCCACCAACCTAGCTGGGCGCACTGGCACATAAGTATGTGTTTTGACAAGGGGGAACTTTCTTTGAATATAATTTCTAAAGGCATTCAAAAAATACTTACAAAGTCTCACACCAAAGGCTGTTTTAAAATATTATGAATTGGGGGATTGGGGGCTTGTGTTGCTGTGAACGGAGTCCTGGCCTAGAGAGGCAACTATTTTAGAGACGGTTCAAACCCTGGACTTAAGGCTGAAGGATCCCTCGTAGGCATCCGGGTTACCCAAGCCCCAGTGATGACCACAGACTGTGACCTCAGCTCTGAGGCTCACTTTCCTCCTCCGAAAGAGGTAATGGCCGTGCCAGTCTCGTGTGCCCTGTTTCTACTCTCCCCGTCCTCCTCCCGCAGCCTCCTAGCCTGAGCTAGCTCTCAGCCCAGTTGAATTTCTCCTCCTCTCTGCCTTTCCTTTATGCTCTTACGTTGCTTACAGAGCCAAGAATGTAAGCTTTTGTGTAAGTATGTGTGTTTGCATGAGTAATTCTGACACATTTAGGAGACATACATAGGGGTTCAAAACACACATATGTATGTACATGAACTTCCTACTTACTAGTCTCACCAGGAAGATTTTGAGCTTCATTGTTTCTTTTCTATCATCTCTTTTTCTCTTTCCTGGAAAATGGACTTATGAACTAGCCTGCTGAGCACTTAAAGTAACCCACAAAAATGTTCACCAGCCTGAACGTTCACATTTGTACGTGTCCTTTCATGCTACAACATTTAAAATCTTCTCTAATCCTCTTGTTGCCCTCTGCCATAACTTTGTAATCACCCCAGTTGTAAATACGGATGCTCACCCTTGATGCTGAAATGTTGTAGAGTGAAGAATGGAGCACGTGGAAATAAGAAGGGGTTCATACTAGACCATCATGGAGACTGAGATGGGGAAAATGGTTGTACTTGCGGATTTCCCTTACCGAATGTGTCTGTGAATGCACCACATTAAACGTGGTGAGCACTGAACCCACCCCTCTTTCATTCCTTCGTAGTGAAAACATTGTTCAATCCAGCTCCTGCCGCTGCTGACCTGGACCCCCGGTTCTACACCCTCTCAGACGTGTTCTGCTGTAACGAAGGTGAGGTAAGGACAGACGGTCTCGCTCATTCCATGAGAAACCAAAGATTGTCACGCAGGTGGATAAAGCAAAGAAGCGGGACTAACCACTTCAATTTGATTGCATGTGAATTTCGGGGCCCAGTGAAAATAGATTTTTCAGTTGGCAGGGGTGAGGAGAAAGGCAACTAGTGAATCCTGGTTCGGGGGGGGGGCAGGATTCCCTAAGCCGTCCCCACAGTCTGGCACCTAGCAGACCTCAGCCAGTTTTAGTGCCCGCCCTGCCCTCCCACCACTGGGGCTTTGTTTTTCTTTTTAATCAGTCCATATCCTGGGAGTCTGTGGTATAATAGCCTATGTACTGATTAGTATTAGGGTTGCCAGATTTAGCAAATAAAAATATAGGACAGCCAGTTAAATATGAATTTCAAACAAGCCACAAGTAATACAGTAAATGTACTTATACTAGAAAATGATCTGTTGTTTATCTGAAGTTCAGATTTAACTGGGTGCCCTGTATTTGATTCAGCAACCCCAGTTCACGTACAACCCCTGGTGCATGTGCTGCATTCTGCTGGGAAGTTCCTGTGACCGTACTGGTGGGCAAGCACAGGTTTCCCGTCGATGCCGTAGGAAGGCTGTGGGGTCCACTCCACTAGGGGAGTGCCCGCTCAGTGCAGCTGAGTGTCATAATTCACAGATCTGCAATAAATATCCATCAGTATATTCATGTTATGCCATTCATTCTGAAGTATTTTAGGAAGATGATGGCTCCCTACCAACATTGGGAAGGCAGGACGTATTATACAATGCAGCGTGCAGAGAGATAAAGTTAATAATAATGAACTATACGGTCACTTTCCATTTGGTTCGAAGGCTGAATGACAATTTCTAGGATTTCTTGATCTGCCTTTTTGTTAATTTCATCTCTTAGAACATAAAGTAAACAAGCAAGAAGTCTGCCACAGGAAACTAATTTTAACCACAATATACTACGCAATATTTTTGAGCAACCACCATGGCCAGGCTTTGTACTAGGAAAAAGGAATTGTGGGAAACTGGGACCATTGCACAATAAGGGGTTAGATTACCATCAACTGCCAAATGGCCTTAGGTTTCCCTGCTGGATACTTACAGAGCTGCGTACTTATTCTTCAAACACTAACCACAGCTCAAATTACTTGCTCAGTACTTGTCTTCTCCATTAAATTACCAGTCCTTTAAGGGCAGGTATACCTGCTTTATTCTCTATTGTATCCACGATGTCTGTCCCTGTGTGTATAGTTATCTATTGCTGTATAAGACAATAAATTACCCCATGTTTTAGTGGTTTACAACAACAGTAATTATTTACTATCCCTCACGGATTCTGTGCCTCAGGAACTGGCACAGGCGCAGCATGGTTTGTCTCTCCTCCATGAGGTCTGAGGCCTGGAAGACTCAAAGGCTGAGAGCCAGAATCATCCGGAGCCTCCTTCCCTCACATGCTTGCTATCTGATGCTGGCTGCAGGCCAGAACACTCACACAGGGCCTCTCCTGTGGCCTGGGCTTCCTCGAAATATGGAAGCTGGGTTTTGAGATCCAATATCCAGAGGTTGGGGGGGGAGATCTAGGCAGAACACATGTTGGCTTTCATGACCTAGCTTTGGAAGTCACACAGCATCTCTTCCGACCCATTCTGTTCATTAAGACAGGAAAGTCCACCCTGGTCCCCCACCTCTCAACAGGATTTTATCATTGTCCCTGTGTGAAAAAGGTCATGTGTGTTATCTATAATGACATGGTTAGCTTTACAAATTACTGTCTGTTATACTGCACCTGGCTCATAGTTGGCACCTAGTAAATGCTGATAGAATGAATGAATGAATGATCAAATGAATAAACTCTGGTCTGTAAGGAAATTGATCTGAAAAATGTAATGGAAAGAAAACTTTATAAGCTTAACATTCTTATGGGTGACTTTAAATCAGAATAATAAAGTAAATTCTTGCTTTAAGATACTCCCTCTGCTCCACACACAAACCACTGATATATAAATATAAAAAGAAATAAGGAAAAAACACTCACAAGCTCAGAACAACTCCACAGATTGGAAATGGAACAGCCCTGGGTATGCTTGCTCCAGTCCTAGAAGCAGGTATTTTGGTAGGGAGTTTGCCCCTATGAATTGTGGGCAGTAAACATGTACCACTCATGGGAGCCTGGAACAGTGCCCACTGCCAGAAACCAGAGACGCTGCACTCAGGCTCCTCTGCTAACAAAAATGGTGCAGGAAGCTGCTGCCCCTGCTGCCGAGACAACACCTATATAAGACTCCGAACCTGATGAGCTAGGAGGACAGAGATACTACCTCTGATCAGGAAAGAAACCAGGCCAACTGTCGGTATACCGCCAAGCTCTGGTTTAGAGATTGTTAGAGGCCTGACGGATGTAGCTGGGAACCCTGCACGGCAGGGAAGCCATGTGGGAGCTGAAGTGGGAAGGCTCTCCAACTCACAGTGAGCAAAGTGAGCCTGCAAGTGAAGAAACACGGTTGGCAAATTTTCCAACAAAAACAACAGTCTAAAGGTGAATTTGCACAAAATGAAGTTTAAGTAAGAAAGCAATGCAAAAAAGTCATTTAAAATGGGATTAAGATTGTCATTCATTTAAAAAGGAGAATTGTGAAAGAAAAACACAATCAGAGCAATAATGTGTGGATATGAAAACCAATTAGTTAGAAGTCTTGAAAATGAAAAACAGTCATTAAAAAAGTTTTAAAGCACTCATGAGAAATGTGAACATTAGACTGAAATGAAGAATTAGTGAATTGAAAGAAAATGTTGATCAATTCTCACCTAGAAGTAGAAAACTCAATGCACCTAGAAAGAGGCACAGACAAAAATATTTTCAAATATTAAAAAGGAATTTAGAGAACCAAATGATTTGTGAGGCTCCAATATACAACTAATTGGAGTGAAAAAAGAGAATGGAGGGAATTGAAGAGAAGCCATACTAGAGGGCAAACTGGAAGGTGTTTTCTAAAATTGAAAAAAATGCATGAGTCCCCAGATCGAAAGTGTCCTAAAAGTACCACATGAGATAAATAGATGTGACTTTCTACTGACTTATATTTAATGGAACTGCATAAAATTAAAGGTAAAGACAAAAATATTTTTAATAACCAGAGGGAAAAACATTACATAAAAATGATAAGAATATGTAAAACTTTATTACTTGTAAAAGGGAAAAAAGATAAAACCAAATGCCCATGAAAAAGAGAACAGATTTTGTTTCAAAACAATGTATTTGCAATATGGAATACTGTGTGGATTAAGGAAGGGAAAGGTAAAGCTTCCTATATCAACATAATTTAAGTAATGATAAGGAAAAACACATCGCTAAATACCAGTAATATACGTGGAAGATATCATTTGCCTTCTTTAAATAAAAATACCTGAAATGAATAAAGTAAAATGTAAAGGTTTGTTAAAGGTGGATGGTGGGTACAGGGTGTTTGTTGCATTATTTTTTATGTTGAAGGTATTTTGTCAAAGAATAGGGGTTTTTTTAATGTTTTTTAGAAACCACAACAAGTCAGTGTTTCTCAAACTAGACCAACTCAACAGACATAACTGATCCTAGTGAGAAAATCTATGAAAAACTTATAAAAACAAAAAAAGAAACTGACCTCAAGTATAACCACTCAGACTAAAAAGGTTTTAAAAAAAAGACGGCAACTTCTATTCAAGATGGCAGCTAAGCAGACTTGAATCTCCTCTTTTCACAGCTGCATCAGAATTACAACTAAAATATAGTACAACCATCTCTCAGAACCATCACAAATCAAGTTGAATGGAAGTCCGACAACTACAGAATTAAAGAAACCACATCTATCCAGACTGGCAGGAGGGGCGCAGATGTGGAATGGGCTGGTCCCTCACCTACAAGTGGTGGATAAAAATTCAGGAAGCATTTCTCAGGAGTCCTAACCCCATACCAGGCCTCCCAGCCCAGGGTTCCAGTGCCAGGAAGATAAGTCCCCACAACTTGTGGCTGCAAAAATCAGTGGGGATTGAGTCAGTGAAAGGAACTACTAGAGTCCCAAGCAGTTCCTCCTAAGGAGCCACGTGCTCAGACTCACCCCTTCTGAGCTCCAGCAAAGGGGCAGCAGCTTGAAAGACACCAGCGTTACACAGAGAAAACTGAAGTATCTGGCATCAAGGTGAGCAGAGGCCATTGTCCCTTTTCTAAACCCTCCAGCCGCAAAGCCAGTAAGCTGGTACCATCTGTGAGACTCCATCAACCTGACCAACACTGTTTGACCCTCCTTGAAGATCCCCAGAGACTCTACCCCACCTAACATATGGGCCCACCCAAGCTGCTTTTCCATATGAATGGTTGGTCTTGAAGGCCCATGCTTCACAACTTCCCAAATACCAACAAACAAGCAACAGCTGGCCTCAGGCAGCCCCAGGGCCAGCACTAGCAACAGCCAGCCTAGATTCACAGCTTGGCTTCTCCTGGGAATCTCCAAGCCCAGCACAAGTAGCAGCTATCTCAGATTGCTTAGGCAGGATGGCCCCAGGCAAAACACAGGTGAGGGCTGACCTTGGCTTGTACCACCTGGGAAACCCCAGGGCCAGCACACCCTGGACAGTGGACAGCGGACAGCTACAGACCACATCAGGCACCACCACACTGCCTCAGCACAGCTAATCATCCACAAAGGGTGGAGGTTGACAGTAAATGGTCATAGTCAATCCTTACAGCTGACTATCCTGGGTAAATACCTCCCATTGATCTGTCAACAGCAACCAAGGCTCAACTGTATGAAAAGGGTATACTTAACCCACAAGAAGGGCTCCAAGTAATCAGCCTGGGTGATGGGGGAGTTGTACCACTGGACCATACAAGACACCTACTACATTAGGCTACATAACCAAGACATGGAGTCAAGGCTGATGTACCTAATACACAGAAGCAAACACAGGGAATCTGCCAAAACAAGGAGACAAAGAAACAGGGCCCAAATGAAAGAACAGATCAAAATTTCAGAAAAAGAGCTAAACGAAATGGAGATAAGCAATCTATCAGATGCAGAGTTCAAAACACTGGTTGTAAAGGTGCTCAAGGAATGTAGTGAGGACCTCAGCAGCGTGAAAGATCCAGTCAGTAACAAATGATACACTAGTGAAATAAAGAACAATTTACAGGAAAACAACAGTACAGTGGATGAAGCCAAGAATCAAATCAATGATATGTAACATAAGGAAGCAAAAAACAACCAATCAGAACCACAAGAAGAATAAAGAATCCAAAAAGCAAGGCTAGTGTAAGCTGCCTCTGGAACAACTTAAAGTGTTCCAACATTCACATCTTAGGGCCGCTAGGAGAAGAGAAAGAATAGGAAATTAGAAGTTGATTTGAAAAAGTAATGAAAGAAAACTTCCCTAATTTGGTGAAGGAACTAGACATGCAAGTCCAGGAAGCAAAGAGAGTCCCAAACAAAGATGGATGCAAAGATGCCCATTTCAAAACACATCATAATTAAAATGCCAGTGGTTAAAGATAAAGAGAGAATCTTAAAAGCAGCAAAAGAAAAGCAGTTAGTTATCTGGAGGGGAGTTTCCATAAGACTGTCAGCTGATTTCTAAAAAAATAAGACTAGAAGGAATTGGCAAGAAATATTCAAAGTTATGAAATTCAGGGACCTACAGCCAAGATTGTTCTACCCAGCAAAGCTATCATTTAGAATCGAAGGGCAGAGAAAGAGCTTCCCAGAGAAGAAAAAATCTAAAGGAGCTCATCATCTCCAAACCATGATTATATGAAATATTAAAGGGACTTATTTAAGAAAAAGATGAAGATCAAAACTATGAACAATAAAATGGCAAAAAATATAAATTGGTCAACAGTTGAATCTAAAAAACAAGGTAAGCAAACAAGAACAGAGATAGAATCATGGATACAAAGAGCTTCTTTTTTTAGATTTTATTTATTTATTTTTAAAGAGAGGGGAAGGGAGAGAGAGAAACATCAATGTGTGGTTGCCCCTCACGTGCCCTTTACTGTGGACCTGGCCCACAACCCAAGCATGTGCCCTGACTGGGAATCGAACCAACGTCCTTTTGGTTCACAAGCCAGCATTCAATCCACTAAGCCACACAAGCCAGAGTGGATACAAAGAGCATTTAGATGTCTGCTAGATGGGAGGGAGTTGTGGGGAGGAATGGGTGAAGAGTTGAGGGGATTAAGAAGTACAAATAGGTAGTTACAGAGTAGCCATGGGGGTGTACAGTACAGTATAGGAAATGAAGGAGCCACAGAACGTATACATGTGGCCCATGGACGAGAACAATGGTGGGAGAACTGCCTGAGGGAGTAGGCAGTGCTGCGTGGAAGCATGGCAAAGGGGGGAAAATCAGGACAACTGTAATAGCATAATCAGTAAAATATAATTAAATAAGAAAAAGTATAAAAAGATGGTAAGAGAGGACATGTTTGAGTTAATGAGAGCTGTGCTCCTAAGAAACTGAAGCCCAGGGTGAGCAGGCACTGTGGGAGGATTTAGAGACAGACAGGAAGGGCTCAGCTGGGCAGAATCCGAGCAAGCACAGGAAGGGCCGGAACCATTCTTAGCACGAGCCAGGACCTGGTTAGACTGCGGCACAGAGAAGACAGAGTTTGAGTCCGAGTATCTCATAGTTCATCCAGTTTTGTGATTTTTTTTCAACCACCTGTCTCAGAACCATGGAGGTTCCTCAGAGAAGCTGGAGGCGTGCCCAGGGGGATGAGGAAGCAGGGCTACAGCCCCGTCACCCCTACTTTAGCCAGAGACCTTGTCACGGCGTATTCTGGGAGAGGATTGCTGATCCTGTGCAAGCCCCCCCCCCCTTTCTAACCGTACAGGCCTGGGGACAGTCGCAGAGTTAGTAAGTAGCGGAGACCCGAGTGTCGCAGCATTTGTTACTTTTTCTGCCACCTCTCAGTGCCTGTCCTCCTCTGCCTCCATCTCCTCTACAAAAACAAACAAAGAACTGGTGGTGTGTAAACACGGAAAGCTGTAACCAGTGGTAGGAGAAAGGCACAGGCCCACGAGGGGCCTCGAGGAACCTCGTCCTTCCGAGTGCAGTTTACAGCTGTGCCTTATCCATGAAAGGCGTGGCAGCGGCTCCTTCCCTTCTCTCCTCCCTCCGCTTTCTTTATTTTGTAGGATTCTTTGTTCCCCCTATCTCTTTATTATGAAAATTACTGTACCTTCACACAGAAAAGCTGAAATAGCAATACAACGGATACTCACACTCTTCACCTGAACAGGTGTTAACATTTTGCTCTATTTCTTTTTCTGAGCCAGTATCTGTCAGAGTTCTCCATGGCACTGGCCGTTACGCAAAATAAGGGAGACATTTTCCAGGAAATCAAAGCCAGTGTGGAGTGGACCCCGTTTACCTTTCTCACCACTGCTTCCTCGCACTCCGTGTCTTCCAGGCTGAGATTCTGACCGGCCTCACGGTCGGCAGCCCGGCGGACGCTGGGAAGGCTGCGCTGGTGCTCGTGGGCAGGGGCTGCCAGGTGGTCATCATCACCTTAGGTGCCGAAGGATGCGTGACGCTGTCACAGTCGGAACCGGTTCCAAAGCACATTCCCACAGAGAAAGTCAAGGCTACGGATACCACGGTAGGTTCTAAACTGTCAGGATCTTTCGGGATCTTTCGGGGCCCTCGAAATCGTCATGTAGTTGCTGAGATACTGCCCTTCAGTTTTTGGATCATGAGGTCATGGCTCCAGGAGGTGATATGGTAGAAAACAAAAACAACCAGGCAGGAGAGCCATATCCTAAAGCCTCTCTAACCCACTGTAGAACTTCCTACAAGTCACTTAAGCTCTCTGAGCCTCAGTTTTCTCATCCGTAAAATTGAAATAGCAGTACAATAACACCTGTATTACTTATATTCATTCAATAAATATTTATTGAATACCTATTATATGCCAGTAAATAGTGGATGCTGGGGCTATAATGATGAACCAGACAGTTTCTGCCATTGACGGTCTTAGATTCTAGACAATAAACAAATCACCAGGTCGACCAGGCTTCCTGTGGAATGAAATAGCAAGGAGCACTTGTTAGCAGAGCTCCTTCTTTCAGCTGACATTTACTGCATGCTCACTGTGTCTCTTCGGTGTACTTCTCATTTAATCTGCGCAATAATTATATGAGATAGGTACAATTATGATCCTCATTTTACAGATTTAGAAACATGCTCAGGATCATAATGGTAGGAAGTAACAGAGCTGAGGTTCGAAACTGGGCCTTGGGCACGCCACAGGTTCTCTGTGCATGAGGCACGATGGGAAGGACAAGCAGGTTAGGGGGACACGTCACAGCCTGCCACGGAGCAGGGATAAAAAGGAAACAAGCTAGAAAAAGGGCTCAGGGCTCCCCTAAAGCTGAGGGAATAAAAACAGTCTCTTTATGGCCTGGAACACGGAAGAGCTGACTACAAAAGTAAGCACTTGTCAGGAACATGAAACTAGAGGAAGAATTAAAATTTTAGAATTTTTATTTATAAGAAACTGCCATATAATTGTTAACAAAATATGTTTTGGTTTTTATGCCTAGAAAACACTTTGAAATGTGGGTCATTTATCTAAAAAGAAGCCTAAGAGGATCTGATGAGGTTTTGGATACAAATATGCTTTAAAAAATAGATAAGTGCAAGGGATGCTTTTATAATATGAAATTACATTGTCATTGCCTTTTAAAAGGGTATTTGAAACACAAATACTTTAAAGGGTATTGCTTTATCGGGTATTTGATAAATTGTACTTGACGTTGTTATTCTCTTCATATTTAATCATTTGTGAAACCATGAGTTTTTTTCTGCTTTGTCAAGATGGACAGTACCCTGAATTTGAAAGGTTTCTTATTAGTTCTGAAATCGATCCTGCATTAGACTGAAACTATCCCAGGTCCTGAACCAAAGCAGAAGAGTTCATTCTTCTCTTGCTAACCATTAAATGAAGGGTCTTTGTGGAGATGCTGGATTCTGTGGGTTCCCAGAAGCAGCCTAGACTCAGCTCTCAGTGCCTGCCTCAGTCACGATTCCTGTTGCTTGCTCGGAAGCACCAGATACACAGCTCACGTGGGCTCACACAGAACAGGGGATGTATTTGGTACGTAACTAGAAAGTTCGAAGTGGGGCAGAATGCGGAGGCCAACCGATGGCACTGGCACTCACTCACCCTCTGCCTGTCAGCTCTGCCTGCCCTGCAGTAGGCGTTGAGCCCAGACAGGCCCCTCCACGTGGTGGGCCCTGGCAGCTTCCTGCCACACCATGCCCCACATCATGTCCCCATCTCTGGTGTCATATGAAAATCAAAGAACTCTTATAGGAGGATGGGATGCTGATCAGACAAAAGAACCCTGCCTGCCACAGAACACTTGTATGGAATTGCGCTGTGTGGGCGTGGGGCTAGATCACGAGGGAACTACCCTGGGAACGTCCGAATTAGAAGCAGTAGTAATAATCCCCCGAGTAGGTTCCTGTTGAAGGACTGTATTTCATAGATCACAGTGGATGGCAGCTGTGAGCATCTTAAACGTGGCGATGTGCACAAAGGAAGTTTTCCCTTTGTTCTGTGCCCTTTCGTTTGGTTTCCCAGCACTTGCCGTTAAGTTTTAGATTTCGGAAAAGGTGAAACACAGCGAGACAGGGGACAGATAACGCTCAGAGGCAGGAGATAAAAAATGGGATCAGGAAGACCAGGGCACTGGGTCAAGATCAGCTGGGTTTTTCTCTAAAAGGCCAGGCAGTAGAGTTTTCAGTTCATGGGCCACAGGCAAACATGCTCCGTCACAGCTACTCACCTCGCATGTGGTGGCAACAAGAGAGCAACGTAAACAGCTGTGCACCGTTGGGATTAAGGTGGTATTTGGTTACAGCTGGATTGTTTTAAAGGAAGGTTGTTCATTGGAATCTCCCGTGCACCCACTAGGACAAGAATTGAAAAAGAAAAAAAAAACACTAAAGTAAACAAGGGAATTAAAATGGTGCACTAGCAAATATCTAACACAAAAGACCTACTGATGGAGGAATAGAGGAATAAAGAAGCTACTGGAAAATATCCTTTTGCAAACTGAGTAATAAAACTAGGACAGCGAAAGGTATGGGATCCAGGTGATGCAACATAGCAGAGAAGTCAGGGAGGATGATGTCAAGGATGATGGAGGAAAGTTCCAGAACAATAGCTGTACAGCCTGCTCATAAGCATTCAGTCCAGATGACAGCAGGTGAGTGGAGGGCCCTAGGAGGAGGGTCTCCCAGGGGAAAAAAAAGGAAAAAGAAAGAAATAGTGGGTTATTCATAGGTTTCAATATGCCCAGAGATTTTCAGTCTTCTTGCAGGATTTGAGGATGTAGTAATTAATATATAGAAAACAGAGGAAATTTTTTAAAAGAGGAAAATTTTTTCTCTAGGTCATCTGAAGTCTAGGAGGGTAAAGTATGATTAAGGAAATACAATCTCAGTACATCACATGATTACGAATTCACAGTCAGAACAATGTAAGTGCCAATTATTGATTTAACCAAAAATGGAAGTGACAGCCACACTGTGGAAACTGAGAAAGAGCGAATGTGCATTTGCGTGCGTGGGGGAAGATGGGAGGAAGAAACGCTCGTCTTCCATAGTGGGAACTCAAGAGGTAATATCTAAAACCGACTTTAAAAGTAGCGGTGCAAAGCATATTACCAAAAATAGAAGATAAATATCAGGAGAAACAGCTAAAGGAATTTGAAGTATTCGCCTCATGGAAATGGTTGTGGAGAGAGCTGGGGCATTTGCACCTGAAGTCTTGTCTTTTTAAACTGGGAGTGCAGATGGCTCCTATTTGTAGGTGAAAAAACACACGGAGGTGGCCCGTACCTCCACTAGGATGGCTACAACCAAAAAAAGACAACGGCAAGTGCTGACGAGTCTGTAGAGAAACTGGACCCTTCAAACAATGCTGGTACCAATGAAAAATGGTGTAGCCACTTCGGAAAATAGTCTGGGGAAGCTTCAGAGAGTTAAATGTAGAATTAGTTGTAATATGCCCAAGCAATTAACTCCTAGCATATACCCCAGAGAAATGAAAAGAAGCCCACAGAAAACATACACACAAATGTTCATAGCAGCATTATTCATAACAGCCCAAAACTGGAGGCAACCCAAACTTTCATCAACAGATGAATGAATAAACAACTTGTGGTACATACTGTGGGGAAAGAAGAAAATTTCCTTTACCCTGCTAGGTTCTTCTGGCTGATCTAAATCATTAAATCAACATGAGCTAGAGTAACAGGAGAAAATAACTGAAATCAATTACGTGTATACGGGAACTCCACATACATGAGAGGTTCTGAGACAGGGACTTAAAGTCAGGTGCATGGAGCCGACAATGAGGTCAGGCAGCAGCTGGGGGCTGCAGAGGGGAGGAAGTCATCCGCAGGCTGGTCAGACGAGCAGGGGGTCAGTAGTTAGAAGTTTGCCCTGCCCTATAGAAGAGTCATAAAAAGTTATTCCTAGTAATAACTCCTATTATGGGCAAGGACCCAAATTTAAGTTCTTTAAAAAAGAGGTAAAATTTTCTCATAAGTCCACAGGGTGTCGACTGCCTTCAGCTCAAAATAATTCACATGCCAAAGTAGCACATCTTGAGGAGGCCTGTTCTGAACCCCTGCGATATATAAAACAGAGTATTGTTCAGCCACAAACAGAATACTGATGCATCCTACAACATGGATGAACATCCAAAACATTATACTAAGGGAAAGCAGCTGCATCTAAAAGGCCATGTGTTACATGCTTCCATTCATACGGAACATCCAGAAGAGGTAAATCTACAGACACAAAGCAGGTTGATGGTTGCCAGTGGCGAGAGGGCATCAGGGAAGTGACTGCCAGTGTGTGCGGGGTTCCTCTTCGGGGTGACGAAAGTGTCCTGGAATGGTGGTAGTTGCACAATCTTGTAGATACACTAAAACCACTGAATTGTGCACTTTGAAGGGGTGAACTTTACAGTATGTGAATGGTATCTCAATTTAGAAAACAAAGGTCAAAAAATAACAAAAAAGATCCATTTAGGCACTTCACTAAAGGACAGGTACGCTTGTGATAAAGACTCCTCCATGTAATTGCTCCCCTGAACCTGCCGAATGGCTCTCCAGGTCCCTGGTAGAGCGGAGGTGACACGGGAAACGAAGGTGGTTATTTTCTGGGTGTAGAACCTCCCTCGGCTTTATTATGCTATCTTTTTGTCCACTCATCCAGCACTCTCATTATTAAAATTCTTGCCTGTTCTGCACACAACTGTTCAGCCTCTTCATACGTCTAAAAAGAGGAGCTAATTCACATGGTGAGGTGAGGAACACCCAGGGAGGCATTTTGTTCCGATCAGTGGGCTCCTTCACTTCTCTGTCAGGAGGTGTTACTTGCTCTCAATCAGTTTATAACCTTCTTGCTTTTTCCTTCCTCCTAATCTCTTACAAAACACACATTTAAAAAAATCATGTTATGTAGCCTAAACATACATGATTTTTGTTTGTCAACCACACCTCAATAAAGCTGGAAAAAATAAATAAGTAAACAGGGACAGTGTGGATGGTAGAGACATCCCCCGTTGGTCAGCACTTTGTCCGCGTGGGCCAGACGGCCGGCCAGGAGCCGCCGTCTCCCATTCTACGTCAGTGCTTCTGCAGACGGCTATATTCGGCTTTGCCTCGGTGTTAATAGTTGGATGTATCACTTCTATTTTTGCATCCCTTTCCCGTTGTACTAGAGCGAGATGGTGGCAGTAGCTGCAGATGTCCTCAGCTCAGTTTGGAACACAGGACAGATGTGTCTCTTTTCTCTTTTCCCATCTCCATGTTGTCTGAATCTCAGCCTTGAAATGACACGGCACTGATGTCCCCACTCCAGTCCTTCCAACCTGAAGGTCAGGGGCTTTGCCATCTTATGTTCACAGCTGCGCAGAATGATCACTTCACAGTCAGAGCTACACACATATAAGTGTGCTAATATTTTAAGATTATAGGGCTAGTGTGATATAATATAGTGTAACATTAATTATCCCTGGCCTATAAGCTCTGTAGAATTCTTTATATGTGCTTTTCTATATGTGAATGGTTATATCCTAGAATCTACACTGACACTCTGACTTGAAGAATTCAGCCCACAGGCTAAATCTGTCTTCTCAAGAATTACTCACTCTATAATAAATCATCATAATTTAGGGGATATAAGTAAGTGGGGAGTAATCAAAAGCCAGGGGCACAGGGGTTCTCTTCATCATTCTTTACTTCCTTTCTTTCTATCCGTTATATCTGAGTCCTGTAGAGGTTGCAGCTGCTAGCAAGGCACTAGCTGCATGGATGTCCCCAAGGGAGTGCTCAGGGCTTGAGCTCCTGCTCCAACTAGAAAGTGCACCAGTAGAAATCAGGGATAGTTTCTATTCCAGTTTGTGTGGAAGCACTGGTGAGAGTGGGAGGACTGCGGGGGCTGATGGGTTACCTGCAGCTTCCCAAACTAACTTCTTGTATTCCCCTCACCTGGGTCTGCCCTCAGCCATCCCAGCTGCTCTCAAGGCTAGGTTCCTATGCATCCACCTCTGAGGTACCAACCGGAATGACCACTGAGTTGGGTCTTTGAAAACCCAGCATCGGAAGAGCCATTGTTCCCAACTTGGTGTGCCCTTTCCCCACAACCTATGCCTTCTTTCTACCCCCAGCCCCCTGGCCAGGGGAGAGCCAAATGAATATTACCAGGTGTAATTAGAGCCAGTGAACGTCTGTGCCCTTAAGGGGTGTTTCTCAACTCCAGCAAACTGAGGTGCTGCTTCCTACTTGGCTGCAGTCTGACTGAGAGGCCTGGACACATGGGGACCACCCCTGCTGGTCTCCGTGACGCCCTTCAGGCTGTCTCCCCAGCACAATGCCCTTTCTTCCTCCCACCTCCTTCTTTCTGACAAGACATACGTTTTTTTGCACTTGCTAATAATTAGTGGCATTTCTGAGGCACATTTCTGTCCATAAACTTCTGTTACAGCCAAGATGTTCAAGTGGCCCCTCACTATTGACTGCCCATACTTGAAAAGGGTTTGGAATGGTAAAATACTGTGGGTAAAGAGTGGTAAGTGCGGAAGAGGTAACTGAAAAATGATAAGGCTAATTTGGACTACCATATCAATTTATTATCCAAGAAGTAAGTATTTTTCCTTCCAGTTTGGATCCTAGGAGAATTATCTGTTGATAGTTTCACTACTCAAAGACCTTGAGAAATCCTCTTTTAGAAGCGTCTTGAGAGCCTTCATCACCTTTGCCCCACTTATAAATCGATTGGGCGGTTTTGCTACCCATGAACTTAACACATGCTTAGTGTTCAAGGGGAGAAAAAAGCAGACAACATAGAAAGGTTTTTATAAAGAAGACAATCAAATACCCATGACCCTACCACTTAGATGTGACCACTGTGACCCTTCTAGTTAGTGTGAGTCCTTCCACATTTGTCTGTGCACACTCATGCGTGAGTATCTATTAGGAGAATGTTTATTAACAGAAAAATTGAATATTTGCAATAGCAGAGATTACTATGTGTAATTATGGGAAGCCTCTACAACTCAAAAAAAATCAAATATGTCCCTGGATTAATGTCAATAGGCAAATCACTAAAGAAGAAATAAAAAATAACAATAATAAAGACATGAGGCAATGTTCAACCTCACAAGAAATCAGGAACACGCAAATCAAAATAACAGTGAGGTTCCCCTTTATTGCCCATCAGGTCTGCAAAAATAAAGATTGATAATGTCAAAGTCCAAATAAATCGGAAAACACATGCTCTCATGTAATTCTCGTGGGAGTGTAAATTCACACAAAGCTTGCAGAGGGCAGATCAACAGACCGCTTTTTAAAATATGCTTTCCCGTTGACCAGTAAATCTTCTCAGAGTCTATCCTGCAGAAATGCTCGTGTGTATAAATATTTGTACAAGAATGTTTATTTTGCTTGTAAGACCAAATAGTAATCAGACAGATCTACATAATCATCAGTATAAGGAAGTCAAATTATAACAGCATGGTGCTATTTATTTTAAAATAATTCTACTAATCTCTAAGTAAAAGCATATTTTACAATCTGGAAAAAACCCACGAAACTCATATGGCTATTAGTCATATAAAGAAGAACTTCTACATTCTACTCCGTACTCTTCTCAATTGTTTGACTTTTTCCATAACCCTGTATTTTTCATGTATTCCTTTGAAACGTGGAATAAATATGACTTTGGGGAATAGCAAAAAACTACTTGGAACCACATCTAGCAAAATAAGATGGATGATATTTCTCAAAAGGTGTATTGGGCATTATCCCCACGAAGGAGCCAAGGACTGGCCACGGTTCACTCTTGACCTCACAAAGAACCTCGAGAACCTCAAAGAACCTTTCACAAAGACAGCAGGCAGAACCCGTGTGCGTGGGCTGGGTCACCTTTGGAGCCAGGGCTCTCAGGCCTCCTTAGGCCTGATATTTCACCGCATGCTTCTAACAGCTTTTTTTTCTTACTCTTTCTTAAAAAAACAATTCCCTCAAAAATATGTTACTTTATTCAGCTTCCCTTGGAAATATCAGAGTAAATGTCAAAGCTGCACTTTCTGTTCATGACTGAAATGCACAGCAGATCTTCAGAGAAACTTTGCTCATGTTCCAGTTTTCATTCTGAATGGGTCTGCTTCTGCATCTCAGTTTAACTCTTCAGTCCTCATTCTCACAGTTAATAATACATTGAATGCTCTGAACTTTGGCTTTTGACACATTTCTTGGTCTAATTGATGCCCTGGAGGAGTTGGGAAAGGGGCCAGGCCACAGTGATGCCTCATGTTTAGGTACTTATTAGTTCACGTGGTTTATCATTCAGGCACCTCATGTTTGAAACAGACCTAAATGGAATGGCTCATGAGAGATGAAGGGACATAGGTAACACAGTCCTTCGGACTGAATTGTGTCCCCTCCCAAATCCGTATGTTGGAGCCCTGATCCCTAGTGTGACGGTATTTGGAGGGTAGGGCCTAGAAGGATGGAATTAAGGTCAAATGAGGTCATAAGGATGGAGCCCACGGGATGAATGTCCTTAGAGACACCAGAGTGCTGTGTGCACTCAAGAAGAGGTCATGTGAGCACACAGCAAGATGGGCCACCTGCAGGCCAGGAGAAGGGGCTCAGAATGAAATCTGCTTCACCAGCACCTTGATCTTGGACTTCTAGCCTCCAGAACTATGAGAAATAGTTTCTGTTGTTTATCCCCCCAGTTGTGATGGTGGCCCAAGCGGACTAACACGTACAAGAAAGCAGATAAGTGTGTTTCAGAAGTGACCTGAAGTGAATACAGAAAGATCAGCTATTCTGGAAGAAAATAATCAGATGTGAACTAACAAGATCAGCCTAAATTACCTATTTGATGAAGTATCTCAAGTGTTCTGCATATGGTTTAATGGAAATCATGGGTCCTGGTGGGTAAGGGCAGATGAAGTCCTGAGCTCTAATCCTGGTTTTTGCCATTAACTAGCAGGCTACTGTGGGCAAATAGGTTGTGCATCCAAACACGATATGTCTGGAGTGGGTGATCTCTGAGGCACCTTCGACCTCTAAAATTCTTGATTCTTACAGATTCTTGGAAATGAGGATTCTTTGGCTAATAGTGAAAAGCAGGCACTATTCTGTGCCAGGCACTCGGTCTGGACTCTTACGCGTTATCTCACATGTTCATAACCACCCTGCACGAGGGGTTAATGCCCATTGCAGGGAGAAGGAAACAGTGTGCCCAAAAGTAAACAGCCTGCCCACAAAGTCATACAGCTGGAAACTTGGCAGAGCCAGGCATTGATTCTGGGTCTGCCTGTCTGTCTGTCTGCCCTTTTCTAACACCCGGTGCACTCTCCACTGCCCCACTCTGCCTCTTAAATTGGTGGCAATTTGCCTAGCGTTCAGTCTCTCCTGTTTGGCCTTCCAGCACCAACTTGTCTTGTCACTCGTCATGATAGATGCTTTTATAATTGCTCCATTTATCTAGATCTTCAGAAGCTGCCAGATCTCGCAAAGCCATTGCTTGCTTTGTGCAGTACAGTGCAGCCTCATTTAAATGCAATAACCCACGTCTAGCCCTAAAAACGGTGTTTGGCACACATAAACGCACAGTTTGTATTGTTTCTCATTAGTAGGTCCCTCTGTGTCTGATTGTTCACTTTCCCTGGATCAATTGGGAGTAATAGGTACCATTACATAGAGTGGGGATGACTTTGGCTCTGCACATTACTGACAGAAAACCCAGGTCCCACCCCCATTCAGCTCCAGCATCTTCCTACACAGGGCAGGGAGCTGAACTGCATGGGTAGTTATGTGGCAGGATCATACCAGTCCGGATATCACAGGTTCTGGCAAAGATCACATTCATGCATTCTTGACATTGAATGACCAGACCTAAAAGGGAGGTGTACCACTCTGAGAGACTACAACCAAATCATCTTTTTATTAAACTTCTGTAAATAGGGACCTGAAATGCTAATGAGAGGCTAGAGAAAAGGTAATTCCTCTTTTCTTAGCATTCCCAAACTATCTCTGAAGTTTAAGAAAAGAAAAATCACTCCTTTCCTGCCCGATATACTCTTAGCCATCCTCAAGGTCCAGCTCAGAGTTCTCTCTGGGAAACCCCACTGCTTAATACAATGCTTCGCATATATTAATGAGCCCTCCTGGAATAATGAGAGAGTTCTAGTTCCTTTGGAGAAAATTAACAGGTGTGTATGTAAGATAACGCAGCCTTCCTGAACCCTAGTGTTCTCGAGGGACAGAGAACCCACAGGGTCCCCATAGTCCTGAAATTCTACATTGCACATGCCAAGGGAGACTAAATCTCATATAAAAGGGACTCTTTTTTTAATGATTTGAGAACTAAATAATTACCTACTTTCCTATTTTAAAACGTATCCTTAGATTGTTTTTACCTACAGTCAGAGAAAGGTCAGGCCAAAAAAGAAGTTCCAGAGGGCAAGTGACCTCTCTGAAATTTCATCATGAAACACAGTGAACCCCGCGAGGCCCTGAAATTGCTGTCATCGCCTGAGGGTTGATGTCAATAAACGGACAAGGTGCCTGTGCAAACTCCGCTGCCTCCGGCTGCTGGAGATGATGAAGACAACAAACAGTTCTCAGACTAAAAAGAAAGGACAGAGGACCAGGCAACTGCTCGAGACTCACCGACAAGGCACAAGGCATCTGTCATGCCCCAGGGGGTGGGGGTGGGTGCATATGAGCTCTATTACATTCATTCCGCCTCAGCAGAACACCTCATTTACTAGCTAATCAGGCAGAATTAAACATTTTAAATTACTTTTCTTAATCCTGCATGTGATCAGTGGAAAACACAGGGCTCTAAAAATCTAATTGTAACTGCTTACCAGAAATGTCATCCTCACTTTGAGGAACTGAAATGGGACCAGTTAAGAAGCTTTTTCTTCCGTTTTTCTGGAGTCCTGTCCCTGAGCCAGACCTGGACACGCACATATGTGTGCCTAGGGCTGTGCGTCCCAGGGGCTTCTGAGGACACCTGGGGTCCCTGGCCCTGCTTCAGAACCCAATATGGCCAAGACAAAAAGAAGAGCAGTAGCAGTAGAGAAGAGACTGGAGGTGGGATGGAGAGGAAGAAAACAGCTGTTTAAACTTTAGCAAAAGTCCAGACGGCAAAATCTAAACCTGGACTTAGTGCTCTGTGGGCCCAGGTAGCACCCAATTGAAGAGACAGGAAATCCTCCAGTCAGAAGCAGTGGTGTGCAGTTGCGGCAGCTTGTTCGCCCACCTACAACTAAGACTTCTTTTCTCTTAGCCCCGCTCCTTCACTGTCCTGGCTGTCAGCTGGATGCCATGGCCGGGAGCCGGGCCGCTCCTGGCCGCTTTCCTCGAGTGCTCCAGCTCAGTTCTCAGGAGCGGAGCTGCCAGGACTAAACTGCGGGTCTTCTAGGTGGTTCCCGCTGTGTGGTGATACATCTGAAAGGATGAGGAGGTGAGAAGACCATCTGGAGCCCAACACTAGAGCCTAGTGGGCTGGAGCCGTGCCCACTGCCCTCAGTGCCCCTTGGTGGCAAGGAGGTGAAAACAGGCGTAGTTCCTAGCTCGCTGAACATCTCTCTGCCCTTCGTGTGAAAGTGTGTGTGTCGGAAGTCAGTGATGTATCATCTGTGTCCGTGGGCTCTGTGTGGCTAAACTGTGAATACCATGTGCGTGTGTGCACACATGTGTATGAGTATAATGTGCTACCGTGGGACAGAGTTCAAGGAGGTGACTAGTCCACCGTCCTCCTCCCGCTTCCATTCCTTTAAAACCCGTAGGAGCGCGCTCTGATCTAGGACAGCCTCAGAAAAGCCCTGTGATGGGGGGGTGGAGGAGCTCCAGGGCTTAGGTGGGTCACATCTTTCCTAAAAGATTCTCTAAAACCTGCGGGCTTTATATCCTTTTCCTCCCTTGCTCAAAATAAACCAAATTTGAGAAAAGAAAGATGGTTACATTTGCTAGATGACTTCCCCATAACTGTTCTGTTCCCAGTTAGGGAAATATTTCTCTTTACTTAGTCTTCTCTCTACCTTTTGGTCTTGGCATGTGGGGATCTAATTTGTGTAGATTACTTTGTGAGTGAATATACTTTCCATCAAATACTTACATTTACTGCTTCCCTCAGCAGTCCCAAGGCCAGTGGATTGTCTGCCTTCCTTCCTTCCTTCACTCCTTTTTAAACTATGAAACATTTCAGTTCTTTATACTGAAAAGTATAAAGAAAAGTATCATGAACACTCATTGATCCACCACCCAGCTCTGCTAATTCTTTTTTTAATATATTTTATTGATTATGCCATTACAGTTGTCCTGTTTCCCCCCTTCATTCCCCTGCACCCTGCACACCCCTCCCACCCACATCCCCCCTTTAGTTCATGTCCATGTGTCATAAGTTCTTTGGTTTCTACATTTCCCACACTACTCTTGCCCTTCCCCTGTCTATTTTCACCCCACCATCTATGCTACTTGTTCTCTGTACCTTCTCCCCCCTTCTCCTCCTCCCAGTCCCCTGTTGCTAACCCTCCATGTGATTTCCATTTCTGTGGTTCTGTTCCTGTTCTAATTATTTGCTTAGTTTGTTTTTGTTTTAGGTGTGTTTGTTAATAATTGTGAGTTTGCTGTCATTTTACTGTATGTGTTTTTTATTGTTTTCTTACATAAGTCCCTTTAACATTTCATATAATAAGGGCTTGGTGATGATGAACTCCTTTAACTTGACCTTACCAGCTCTGCTAATTCTTAACATTTTGCTATTTCTGCCTCAGATAGTTTTTAAAAAATAAAACATTGCAAACATAATATGACCTTTTTGCTTAAGGTGCTTAGTGCTATGAAGATGCAGCCTATATCAGAACCTAGCTTTTAGGCTGTTTGAACAGAATAGTAGTATTTTATAAAAATTTCTCTTGGTCTCCACCATTCTGCAGTTTTACTACAGTGAGTCCAGATCTGAACTTACTCTCATTTATACTGCTCATAACTCTTTGTTCTTCCTGCATCTCAGTATCTGTGTTTTTCATCAGCTCTGAAAAACTTATTTATTACTGCCTCCCCCCTATATTCTCAGTCTTTTCCTTCTGGAATCCCTACTAGGTATATGTTAGAGCTTCTCTTTTCTACTCTTCTTGCCTTTTTAAAAAAATTAACTGGGTTGTCATTCTCTCTTCTCCCTGGTCTCAGGCCATAGAGAAGAGAACCGCAGAGCCACTGAGAGTAGAGCAACAAGTGCCCCCGATGGACAGAGGGGGCGGGTTCCTGAGTGATGGCCTCAGGCGCCAGGACTTAGAGGGGCTTCTGTGTGTACCTGAGACTTCCCAAATGTGTGTCTACTCTGTTGGATATTCTGCTAGAGAAAGAAAACTAAACAGGGTTTGTCCACAGTCAGGATCCATGGGTAATGAAACGAAACTGGCCTCTAGCCCTGAAAACAGTTCTTTCAGAAGTGGCAAAGAACCCTGTGGGAAACTATGGCAAAGTGGGGTGAACAGCACCCCAATATGACCTCGTTTATTCAGCACACTGTATTTGAATGTTCTGCATACCAAGCAGCAGGTGTGCCCTGGGGCAATAAGACAGTCCCTGGCCACAAAGAGCCGAAGTCTAGACGAGTATGTAACCCACGCAGTCAGAAGCAATGCCGGGATGGGGATGCACCTGCGGGGCCCTAGGAGTGCCGCCGGGGGCCCACCCGCTCTGAGAGGGCAAGGGTCACCCAGGCAGAGACAGCAGTTCATGAAATAGTCCAGAGCCAAGATAGCAAGTCACGTTCCTGCCTTTTCCAGTTCTGTTTGGGAAAAGCTTAGAGTACAAGGAAGAGTGGAGAAGCCGTGACAGGATGGGTTGTGGAAAACGTTACTTGCCACAAAGGGGAATTTGCACTTTCTCCTGAGGGTAGTGAGAACCATGGAAGGGTTTAGGCAGAGGGAGATTTGGCCAGATTTGTACTCTATAAAAAGATTAGCATGGTTGTGGTATGGAGAATACATTGGAGATTACAATAGCAGGGGCAGGGAGAACTGTCCAGACTGATGCACTGACCTGGTGAGAGATAATGGCAGCCTGGACTAGAGGTGGCAGCAGGGATGTTGAGAAGTGGGCTGGAAACTCTTAAGAATTAGAGGACACATTGGTAGCTCATTTCCTTTTTAAAAGGTGCTGGAGGGGGCCTAAGTAAGATGCTTATTTCATGGTCAAAACAAGTAGATCCTTCTACCAGTCTAGGTGGTTCTCAGCATTTTTTTCAGCTCTGACTCACCTAAGAGCTAACATCTACTCCTATTAGGAACAGTTCGTATCATCAGTGATTGTGCAGATGGCACAGGAAGTAATTTACCCAGAAAGATGAGATGAAATGAAATGATGCTCAGGTGGTTCCTGGCTGCCTCTTTGGGGAATCACTGATCCATGCAACAGAGAAGCATTAGGAGCTGACATTTATCCTGCACTTAAAGTAAATAATATTTGAAGGAAAAGTCTTTTGAAACTTAATGCTAGTTCTGATATCTCGCCCTACCTACCACCTGTACCATAGACACTAGCTCACTCCTGATGAAAACACAGCCTTCACATGACTACACGCTCTCCCCCTAGTGAAGTGACAAATGAGCCAATATGTGAAGAATCTGAGTTGTGCAGAGAGAAACACCAGGTATTCCAGCCAAGGCATATACCCAGGTTGTCGTGAGTCATTCGCGCCACTTTCAGCAGCCAGGTTCCCAGAACAGCCACTCAGGTCCTTCCTTCGTGTTGACCGAGTAGACCTGGCCCAAGACCCAGAAGTGCAGCAGCAACTGTGAGGAAGCAGAACATTATAAATAACCCAGAGAGCCCTTTTATAACAGCAACTGCCTGCTGAATTTGTGGCCTAACAGCTCAAGCAAAAAGGATATAAATACAATATTGTGCAATGACTAATTACTCAAAATTTTGTGCATCAGCAGAAGTGGAACCTGTGGTTGGTGCTAATATTATCAAATGCCTTTGCTGTTTAATAATCTGTTAGCTCTTTATTATTTAGCATGCAATTTTCACAGAGAACAATGATTTTATTTCAAGTACCTCTCACTGCAATAAAAAAAAGCAGCTGTTAGAAGATGAATATTTGGCAGAAAATATTTTAGCAGAAGCATTTGTGAGATCCTAAATCATATTGGATTAACTGTTTTCTGTCTAGAATAGCGGAGTCACAAAGAAGAAAGATCACTGACCACAGAAGACAGGGCCAGTCTTTAGAACCCAGTGAATCACTAACAGACGTTTTAGTTTTAAGTGCCATTTGTTCACCAACATATAAAGTTTTTTACATACAAAGCTTCCATTAATGTTGCTTGAAGAATGAGCCTTTTTTGTTCTAGTTTTAGCTCATACTCAGGATTCTGCTTCTCGTTCATTAATAATGGAATTCTTTAAATTATAGAATAAATTCATCCACCACAGACACTGTGGCCAGAGTGGGGTTTGTAACCAGTGCTAAGCCTTCACAGGCCATTCTCTGTGGCTGGACAGACAGAAGAGCAGGGGGTGGCAACTGAGGGTGGCGCCTGCTGAGCTGGGTCAGCCCTGCCCCTGAACCTGAAGAGGGGTGAGAGGTGCCCCCTGGACCCCTGGCCTCATGGCCTACCCTCTCCCAGGTTGCCAGTGCAGGGACAAACCCCAGGTTGACAGTAGACCCCACATGTTCCTCAGGCTGGCCAACCACTGGTCAAGCAGGAGCTGTACTGGGGAAAAGTGACATCATGACATGGCTGCTGGGCACATCCGGTTTCATCCAGAGAATTAGGATAGAGGGGCTTTTGTGTGGCCATATTGATTCAAGAACATTTCTTACAATAAATTATTATAACTAAAACATAAAAGTCTCCTCTTTTCTAAACTGCCAAGCAATGCCCAAAGTAGTCCTTTGCCCTGTCACTTCCCACTCCTGGGATGGGGTAGGCAAGGGGTAAAGATTTAAAATGCAGAGTTTGCAGAGATGGCAGAGGGTTGCTCACAGGCTCAGGCTCAGCGTGGTGTGAGGTGCACAATGGGGTGGGGTTGGAGATGTCTATTCTGTGTGTGATTTAGGGATGTGAACAGTATGTCTACATTTTTCACATGTTCACGTGGATGCAAGTACTAGCTCAAAACATTTTCATCAAAATGCCCCCTTTCAATAATGGTGCAACTGGCCAGCCCAGCCCAGAACTCACCAAAACCCAGAAGCTGGAGTGGACCCTGAGATGCTGAGTCGTGACCTCTGTCAATAGGGACCGCCAGCTGACTTAAACCAGGAGCCGGTTGTCACCAGTAGCAGGGCCCGGTCAGTCCATGGCGCTGACCTCTGAGGCAGACACCACAACCATGCACATTCGTGTGGGCCGGGAAGGGTGAAGCACGCTGTAGCGAGCTGGTGATTTTTGTTGCCTTTGACTCAGTCTCAGATCAAATTGAAGTGATGCGGTTATTATGATCATCTGTACTCTTACAAATGATACTAAGTACGCCTGGGTATCAATAAATGAGGAATCTGGCAGTTCTGGGATGAAGGTTGGTAGGCTTTTTCAACTACTAGGGTTTTTCTAGTAGTTGAATTTTAATCAATATATTGAAAATTAAAAGACCAGTTTCATTTTTTAATACCACTTACACTCTTTGTGGGTAGTGAAATGCCACCGCGAACATATATTGGGCCCCCCACCCTTGGATTTTGTACTCAACCCCCCACTGATGCCTCTGTTCCATCCATCTAAATGAAAGAAGGCTTTTAGCCCTATAAGCCTCATTCCGGATGGAAATGCATAATTCAAGAGAAATACTGATGTCAAAGAAGAGAAGGCACATCAATTTGTGTCAGCAGTTGCTGTAAATTAAAGAGGAGTGCAAGGAGAGTTTAATGTAATGTAGATTTGAAAATAAAATTAGAACCAATATTTAGGCAGTCCTCCGCCTCTTTTTCCCCTGCTGTGACATGAAGGATTGACGCCAGCTGAAGTACCCTTTTTTGCTGGATTTTTTTCCCCCATAAAATGTTGCATGTTTATCTTTGGCATCCAAAAATAAATCTTTTCACTTTTTCCATTCTAATCTCAACGGAACAGTCAGGGTAGGAAGAGTCCGAGTTTTCCCCTACTCTTCCACACCGGTCCTGCCGGCAGAATAGGAAGGACCCTGCCACACCAGTGTGACTAGTTTCAGCACCGTGAGTAGCTGCTAATTCTTCCTTAACCCTGCTTCTGTCTGCCGTGGGTGTTACCTCCGTGCCTTCTTTTCGTTTTCTAAAGCTGGAAAATAAAAGCCCGGTAATGAGCATCTCACCAGGTACCACTATGCAAGGTGCTCCTAAACTTGACTCGGGAGAAGAGTTCTCCAGCACGTCCAAGGCTGCACCCCCTTTAAAGAAGCTGTGGTGGGAAGCTTCACATTTAGTCCAAACTGCTGTTGTTCAGAACATTCTGGGGGCTCTTTATTCAAATTTCCTTTAGAGCTGTCGTGCTGCTTTATCATTTCCCACTGTTTTTGCCAATCATGGAATTCCCTAGCTCGATCCCCCACCTTAATCACTAGACCAGGTTTTAAAGGATTCACTCTTTCCAGAAATGAATTCATGAGGATTGTGGTTCTCAAAGTGGCCCTGGACCAGTCTATTAGTACCACCTGGGAACTCATTAGAAACAAATCCTGGCCCCACCCCAGGTTTAAGGGATCAGAAACTTTGCCAGGTGGAGCCCAGCAGTCTGCGTTTTAACAAGCCCTCCAAGCAATTGTGAAGCATGCTCAAGTTTGAGAACTAACTTAGAAGATGAAATATCACCTTCACTGAGGATAGTCAAAGGTGTGCTCCAGACTTTAAAGGTATACCCAAAAAGAAGTTTCAAAATCTCTGTGAGCAGAGTGGGAGTACATGTATGTACAGCCTCTAATAAGGGCTGCTTTAATGGAGGCTGGTCTTTAATGGAGGCAGGTCCCAGCCCTGTCACCTAGCCATGACCTTGACCAAGTTCTCACATTTGATTTCTCATCTGGAACATGAAAGACCTACCCTATCTACCTCTCAGGATTATAATGAGATTCAAAATGAAACACATCTACAAACCGCTCTGTAAACTGGAAAGTACCGAGAACAAGTGAAAGTCACGTCATTCTGCGGACAGGATTCCGGTAGTCCGAGCATTATGTCAGGGCAGGGTTATAATTTCCCTGGCCAGATCCACCTTTCTGTCTATATAATGACTGATTCATCATCACCTTGGTGGATGTGCCTCAGCTTCTGCCATTTCAGCCTGCCGATTTATCTGGTGTTAAGACAGGAAAACCATTGCTCGGTTAGTGGCTACAAGGGGCTAGAAACATACATCCGTTTTCCAGCATGCTGTTTCCTACAAAAGCTTTGTGATGGCCCTTAAGGACAGACGTGTGTGGGCACTGAAGCTCTCGTGTCCAGAACTTGCCACACACTAGGAGTGAGTCTGTACCGAACCATCCGTTTCAGCCCTGTGCAAGGGAGTCACGACCTTCAACAAGGAAGCCAGGTGTCCCTTCCCACATATTAATCATTGCAGAGAGGACCAGAAAGAAAACATTTGGTGACAGAAGGAGATTGGACTTTGGGGGATAAACACACAAGGCAACATACAGATGATGTATTTATTATAGAATCATACACTTGAAACCTATATAATTTTATCAGGCAATGTCACCCCAGTAAATTTAATTTAAAATTTTTTAAAGAAAAGAAAATCCCTCAAGCAAACCAAATCTGTAGAACTGGAGATTTATGAGCCAGACCAGTTAATGTGTCTGCGCTTGAGAAGAATGTGGGTGGATTTCACCTTAGAGGTTAGCCTTTGCAAACAGCCTCACCGCAGGAATTCTTAAACAGCAATCTCCCAGTGCATTTATAATTTAACCTGAAGACTTTACAGAGTAGAACATATCTGGGCAGGAAGGGAGCTAAATCTGTTGCCTGAATGCTTACTGGGAATGCAGTTTTAGTAACGAAGCAGCCCCCACCCAGCCAGCATCAGCTTCACTTCTCACAAGAAGCACCAGCTAACAATCAAGAGATTAGCTATGAATCCCATTGGTTAATTATGATTAAGTTATTGGTTGGTTGTGGAATAATAAACTGTTGGTTAATTATGGAATTAGACTATGAAATGATTCTGCTCAAAAACATGTGCCCATTTAACAAGTCAGGCTACAGAGAAAGAACATAGATTAGCAGGTCCTAGGCCTGGGGGTAGAGGGATGGTGGGCAGAATGGGTGTTGATAGGTACAAGTTTTCTTGGGGAGGGGGTTTGAAAATTTCTAAAATTAGACTGCGAGATGGTTGTTCAGCCCTGTGAATGCACTAGAGAACACTGAATTGCATACTTTGAACAGGCCGATTTTATGGTATGTGAATTATATCTCAATAAAGCTGTTCTTTACTCAAATAGCTAATAAGTTGTGGAGCCATGGAAAACATTATGCCTTTTTAAAAGACAGAAATAAAACACATCAAAGCATCACTGCATGCAGTTCCATACTTGATTAATATGAAATAGCAATCATTTGAAATTTAAGGCAGAAACTATTTGCTTTCTTTTAATCACAAGAGTATTTTAAAAGCAGACAAT